TACTTGACTCATAGTGACTCAAAGAATAACCAGTTTGAACTTTGCCCTAACCTGCATCACCCTCACAATCTCTGTTATGCTTGAATTGTTGCAGTCTCTGTTTCAATCCATCTCCTTGAGGGTCTTCCTCTCTTTCTCTGACTCTCCAGTTTTCCTAGCATGATTTCTTTTTCCAAGAAAAAATACTCCCAGCAACGTGCCAAAGTATGTGAGACTACATTTCACCGTCCTTGCCGTAGAGGAGCACTTTGGGTGCCCTTTCTCCAAGACAGACTTGTTTGTTCTTTTGGCAGGCAAGGGGTTGTTCAGTGCTCTTCTCCAATAACCACAATTCAAATGCATTGATTCTTCTGACATGGAGCCTTTCTGACTCACTTCCAGGCTACATGTACCTAATTTGATGATTACTTTGCAACTTTTGAAGAGACAACTCTATTGACTTAGTTGGTCTTTATTTTTTAAAGGGAGCTTAATAGGTAGAATGTTGCACTGCCAACCAAAAGGTGGTAAATTCTAATCCACCAGCTGCTCTGAGGGAGAAAGTTGGCAGTTTCCTCCCATGAAATTTGTTGTTGTTATGTGTCATTGAGTTGCCTGTGACTCATAGCAACCCTACTCATAGCTCTGAAACCTGCCCTAACCTGAACCAATATCATCTGTAACAGATCCAATCCCAGTCACTGAGTCAACCCAACTCATCCTGGATCTTCCTTTCCTGTGCTCTCTCTTCACCCTTCCAAGCATGATGTTCCTTCCCAAGGACTGGTCCCTCCTAGCCACATGCCCGAGGTATGTGAGACAGAGCTTCAAAATCCTTGCATCCCGGGAGCAACCTGGGTTCACCCTCTCCAGGACAAAACTGTTTGTTCTGGTAGTCCATGGTGTGTTCAACATTCTTCTCCAGCACCACAATGCAAAGGCATCAGTCCTTCTTCTGTTATCCCTAGTTATTGTCCAGCTCTCAGATGCATAGCAAGTAATTGTGAAAACTATGAACTGTATCAGGCACACCTTAGTCTCCAGACTGACGTCATTGCTCTTCAGAACTCTACAGAGGTCCCTGCCAGCTGACTTTCCCAATGCAATTCGTCATGGGGAGCTCTGGTGGCCTAGTGGCAAGGAGCTGCAACTACAATCCCAGAGGCGCATGGTTCAAATCCACCAGATGCTCTGCTGGGGAAGGAGGGACAATCTCCTCCTGTACCAGTCAGATCTGATTTGATGGTACACTCACACAAAAATAATGAAATAATAATTAAAAAAACCCCAATGCAATTCGTCTTTTGATTTCCTGACTGCCAGTGCCAAGAGTGTTGATTGTGGAACCAAGTTGCACGTTTTCTCCCCCTCTTCCCTCTCCCTCCCCCAGCCCTTGTTCCAGATTGTCCTCATACATATAAAGCCTAATCATATATTCTTTTTAGATAGTCCTTCCTCTTTTCTGTTCTAATGCACTGTTCATTTATCTCTAACCACTCTTTCACCATTCCCTTCCCAACCCACCCCCCATGGCTGTCCTATTTTATAATGGTGTTATGCAGTATTGGTCCTTTTGTGACTGAGATATTTAACTTAGCATAATGTCCTCCAGGTTCTCCCATATTGTGTAATGTTTTACCAGTTCACTGTTTTTCAATGCTGAGTAATATTCCGTTGTTTTTCCTATCCATTCATTTGTTGGTGGGCACTTGGGTTGCTTCCATCTCTTTGCTGTTGTGAATAACACGGCAATAAACATGGGTGTGCAGACAGCTGTTTGAGTCATGGCTCTGGTTTCTTTAGGGTATATTCCCAGTAGTCAAATGGTATTTCTACTTTTGACTTTTTGAGAAAGCACCAGACCGTTCGCACCAGCAATGAGATCTCTCCACAGCCTCGGCAGCATTAGTCATTTGCTGCCCTGTTGCACTTTGCTATTGTTGCTGGGGAAGAGTGTTGTTTTGGGTTGGTTTTTTTAAATGATTTATTTATTAAAACTTGAAAAGGTTTTAATTTCCACCCGTCCCATTGTTGCACATTTTATTTTCCCGCTCCCCTCTCTTCCAGCCCTCCCTCCATGAAATGACCCTTTGTTCCAGATTGCTGTCATGTATATAATGCCTAATCATATAGCCATTTCTGACAGTTTCTTCCTCTCATCTGATCTACTACAGTGTTCATTATCTATCCACTCTTCCCATTCTCTCCCCAACTCAATATTTTTAAGTGATTTCAATTTTATCATGCAGATTTTGTTTTATAACATTAATTATAGTTCTCATATTGTAATAGCACTCTTCTCATTTCCTCCTTGTGGTTCTCCTTTCCATTCATCTTTCTATCCTATCCCTTTCTGCCTTTTGAACTTTCTCTGTGGGCAGATACCATCCTTCTATGTGAGCACTTCCTGGTGTTCTTTTTACTTTATAAGCCTGTCTATTGTTTGGATGAAAGTTATGCCACTGGAGTGAAAAAGAACCTTAAAAACTTATGTAATCTTGTGCTCGCTTCGGCAGCACATATACTAAAATTGGAACGATACAGAGAAGATTAGCATGGCCCCTGCGCAAGGATGACATGCAAATTCGTGAAGCGTTCCATATTTTCGACCCTGAAATGAACCAGTCTCTAACGAAGGCTGACTCCTAACTCCTTTCACCTACAAATTTCGTCTTTGGATACAAACCTACGTGGATAGTCCTTGGCCGAGGGACTGTTTCAAAAGAGGCAGGGAGAAGAAGAGAAAAAAAAAAAAGGGGGAAGAAAAAAAAAAAACACCTTATGTAATCTCTTACCAATCAGACATATCACCACTCAATTTTATAACTATTACCTCAATGTCAACTAGTCATAGAATTGTTCCTGGTCACCATTACCAAAATGTCAACCAGACTCTGAATTTCCTTACATTCTCTTAAATAAACTCACCTACCTCCTTGGATCACTTAGTTCAGAATCCTCTGGAGTCTTTGACCCCAATTTGCAAACTGCCCTGCCTTTCTATAAAAGCTCTTTACTTTCAATGTCAAACACACTCGGCCACACCAGAGAAGTGTGCCATTTAGTGAGTTGGACAATGATTCCACACCTGTGCTTCTTTTTAATAGGAAGTGCTGGGATGTTGTATTAGTTTCCTGTGGCTGCTATGATCACAAATGATCATAAAATGGTGGCTTAAAAATAACACACAATTTTTATCTTACAGACCAAACGACTGGAAAAGATCCATATTTATTCCTATCCCAAATAAAGGTGTTCTGACAGAGTGTGGAAATTATCGAACAATATCACTAATATCACACACAAATAAGATCCTGATGAAGATTATTTAAAAATGACTGGAACAGTACATTAACAGAGAACTAAGAGAAATACAAGCTGAGTTTAGAAGAGGCCGTATCACTAGAGACATTATTGTTAATGTCAGATGGATCCTGGCTGAAAGCAGAGTACTAGAGGAATGTCTATCTGTGACTCATAGACTATGCAAAGGCATTTGACTGTGTGTATCACAACAAATTGTGACTAATCTTGAGAGAAGAATGGGAATCCCCGACCACTTGATTATGCTCATGTGAAACCTATACTTGGCCCAGGAGGTAGTCATCAGAACAGAGCAAGGAAACAGTACTTGGTTCAAATTAGGAATAAAGTCACCAGGGATGCATCCTGTCTCCATATCTTTTCAATTTGTATGTGGAACAGATCATTCCATTCAGGAGGCTGGACTTTATGAGGAGGAGTGTGGTTTCAAGATTGGAGGAAGACTCATCAACAACCTGCGTTATGCAGATGCCTTACTTGCTGAAACTGAGGAGAACCTGACGCATTTGCTGCAGAAGGTCAAGGACTGTGGTTTTCGATATAGACTGAAGCTCAGCACAAAGAAGATAAAAGATTCAAACCACTGGGCCAACTAGCAACACTATGATGGATGAAGATGAGACTGTGAGGTTGTTAACAATTTCAGCTTGTTCAGCTCCACAACTAACAGTCTTGGCACCAGCAGCCAGGAAACCAAAAGACAAATTGCACTGGGGAAGTCTGCTGTCAGGGACCTCTCCAAAGTGCTAAAGAGTAATGCTGTCAGTCTAGGAACTAAGGTGCGCCTGATCCAGGCCATGGTCTTAACACTTACTTGCTATGCATTAGATAGCTGGACATATGTCCAGAAGGGACCAGTCCTTGGATAGGGACATCATGCTTGGAGGGGTAGAGGGACAGCTCAGGAGAGAAAGATCTCAGATGAGATGGATTGACATGGTAACGGGGGCAATGGGATTAGGTATTTCAGGGTCAGTTGAGACTGGCTCAGAATAGGGCAGGGTAAAACTATTGTACATAGGTTTGCTCTAAGTGTTGGATGACTTGGTGGCACGTAACAACAACAATAACAACAACAACAACAACAACAACAGGGATGGAAGTCAGAAGTTGGAGTCTCCAAGGGACAATCTATTCTGTCTTTTTTTACTTCTAGAACTAGCAGGCATTCTTTAACTCCTGGTCACATCACTCTGACCTCTGCTTTCATTGTCACATCTTCTCCCTGGCCCTCCTAACTCCCTTTTATAATGACCCTTATGATTAAGATTGTAAGACTGGATACTCTTTCATCTCAAGATGTTTAATTTAACCACATCTTCCAAGGTGTTTTACCACTTACATAATATATTAACAAATTATCTTTGGAGTAGAGTGGGGATTCTGGGAATGGTCAAGTGAAAGGATCTAAAGATCTGGGTGGACACTCCAGCTCTCCTTGTCCGGCATCTCAACACATAGTCATAAAGATGTAAAGGAAGGGAGGGAAGGAGCAGCGTATTAGGGAAGACCCTTGCTGGAGGAGAGACTAGCCAGTACAAAGCCCCATAGACAGGCTGACTCATTTTCCTGGGACCTGAGTTCTAGACTTTTTTCTTGCTGTCCCTAAACCACAGAGGTAAAAAGTTGGTGTTGCTCACAACTTCAAACTCCATCTTGCTTGAAGATCTAAGGGAAAGTTTGAAGACCCCTAATCATCAGCGGTTCCCTCGCACTGATCCTACTGCCCATGGCTCTTCAAAGGGCAAGGCAGCCTGTAGGGAGAAGTGGGAGCCTGGGTCAGAGGAGCAACAGGTCCCACGCTACCCTCTACTTACATCTCTGCCCAGTCGTTACCTGGGTGCCAGAGCGGTTGTGTCCATGCAGCGTCCGTCTGCGATGCCACTGGCGTAGGGAGGCTCGGGCTTCGGAGCTGAGCCCCTGGGGGGTGCGGACCACCTCCGCTTGGTAGTGGGCAATGTGGTACAGCGCTCCAAACCACGTGGTCAAGTAGTACCCCGCTAGGGGCCAGAAGGAGGTCAGCCTTCTCAGGTTCCACCACCACCCAGGGTGCCCCTGCAGTCTCCCTCTTCAGGGAAAGACTTCTGGGGCTGGAGTAGCCGTGGAGGACCCACTGTGGGACCCAGGCATTCCGGGGTTGGGACTCACCTTCTCCCCGCAGTTCTTCGGGATCCAGGACCTCCATTAGGAATTCCACATCCAGCTGCGTCTCCCCAATATCTGGGCTCCAGATCAGTTCTTCTGTCAGCGCAGGCAGGAAAGCGTCAGCTCCCTGGGGCTCTGAGGACAATGGAGGACAGGCTCTGGGGTCAAGTGGGGGCAAGAAAACACCTGACTGCTGATTCCCAGGGCAGCAATAGCTGGCTGCCCGGCCACTTTGCTGGGCATGTAAACATCTTTTATCAGCATCTCCAGGAACACCTTCCATTAGAGCCTGCCACCCTGAGCAAAACGCGCGAAGGCGCCTGCTACCTGCCTTTCCAGGTCAAGCGGGCGCCTCCCTCCGCCTCTAGCCTGTGCATCTCTCGTGCACGCCTCGCCTTCCTTTACCTTGGTCCTCGCCTCGGGCCAGGCCGGCGTAGATGTCGCTGCACACCGCCAGCAGCAACTCCACTTTGCGGCGAGGCGAGCAGGCAGCGTGCAGGAGCGCCAGGCGCCTGTGGATGCGGCTCCGCAGGGCGGGGTCCGGGCCTGGCCCCTCAGGTCCCGCCCCCTGAGACCCTGGAGGCCCCGACTCGGCCCTCAGGGCTATCTGGCGCCGCCGAAGGAGTCTCAGCTCCCGAGAGCGGAGTGTGCGGAGGCGGGTCCACAGGGCTGGTTTCAGGGGTGCCAGCACTGCCCGGCACACGGCTGCCTCTACTGCGGGGCCTGTGGGAAGGGGAGGTGAGTGAAGGAACCGCTGAGCCACCTGCACACTCTCGCGGATGGCCGTCCCACCCTAGCTTTTCCTACTCCCGAGTGTAAACACTACGAATGGAAAAAGAAGCATTAGTATCCATGTGCAAAAAGCATGACAACACGTGTGTGCAGGACTGAGAGGAACAAATCCATTCACTGCTGTCTAGTGAGAACCCACTCATTGCTGACACAAGTGGGAACACAAGAGGTCGCCATGACCCCACGCTGACGGGTTAGTTTTGTAAGCTGTGAGGGGCATGAATGGGAAAGCAAACGGGCATGCACAGAAATGGAGAGAAAAGAAGTTGAACTTGAACACACACTTGGGACTGAGAGACGGACAACCAGAACTCATGAAAGATCTGGAAGTCCCTTCCAGTTTTCCTCATTACCTAGATCCTGGTCCTTCCGAGCTGCCCCAGGGCCCCTGCTCCTAAAGACCGCCTGGACAATGGGATCCTTCACGAGGTAGTCCTGGAGGTCAGTAAGGAGGTGCCGCACGTCCTGCAGCAGCGCTGTGGCTGGGTCTTCAGGCCTGTGGGAGCCCCCTCCCGCTGAGGACAGGCGTGACCTGAGGCCTCGGAACTTCTTGGCCACGTAGTTACTCCAGGCCCTCGATAGAGCCTGGACATGAAGGGTGAGAGCGTCCTCTGGCCCCTCCTCCTCATCTTCATAGGCATCCTCCACCTCCTCCTTCTGCTCCTCCTCCTCGAGGTTGGGCAGAGCAGGCGCAGCATAGGGCACTTCTGGATTGAGTGGGCGTTCCACCCAGGAGACACGGTGAGGGGCTGTGTTGCCGGGAGCTGGAGTGAGGAGAGGCCTTAGTCTCACAGCACAGCACAGCACAGCACAGCACAGCACAGCACAGCACAGCACAGCACAGCACAGCACAGCACAGCACTCTTTCTTCCCCAGGAAGTATAAGGCCCTGCCCAGCTAACCTGGACTACCTTCCTGGGCAGTCTGTGATGTGATCTCTGGGAGGGGCTGTTCTATCTCTTCTTTGTGTGTCTCCTGGTAGAGCTGGTTCATCACAGAGAGGGCCTTTCCTGAGGTGTTGGGCTGGACCCTGTCAACCTGTGGAGAATCTGGGGGCCAGTAGAAATGAGGCCACCAGGCCACTTAGCTCCCAGCTTTATTATTAGATAGTACTGAGACTGGGGCCTTTGCTCCTCCATACTCTAACACCATCCTGCCTCAGATCCAAGAATCCATATTCCCATTCTCTCCTTCAAATTCAGGAAATCTGGCCCCAAGACCAGGAATATCTCAGGGTCTGAACCCCCGGCTCCTTCCTCCTTCATGTTCAGGAGACTGTGCTCTGTCCTCTCTTCCCAAGGACCAGGAATCTAGACTCCTGGTCTCTGTCTCCTTCAGACTTAGGAGTTCAGGTTCCTATCTCCCCCCTCTCATAGACCAAGGAGTCTGGGTTTCTATACACTCCTTTGTCAGGGATCCCAAAGTCTAAGTTCCCAACTGCCTCCAACTTTCAAATCTAGTAGCCTGGTCCCTCAAATCCCTTCTGCTTGGACCACAGCGGCTGGAAAGTTGGTCTTCATCTCCTCTGGAGGATCATGCCTCACCTCCATGTTTGTTTCCAGGCTCTAGAGTTGGAGGGGGTAAGAGCAGTGTTCTGGGCAAAACATCCCTGAGAAAAGATAAGGTGAATCACATAATTGGATATCTTAGGGAAGGGGTATTCCTTGACGCATGTGATAGGTAACCTGTACCTGCTGGCTGATAGGAAGGCCAGGAGATAGGGAAGATCGGGCATGCAGAGGTTTGAATATTCCAGACTCACACCTAGGGGAGAGGCAAGAAAGAAAGACAAAACCTTGAAGGGTGGCAGCTTCCCTGCACCTTGGTTCACTACAGCTGGCTCACTACAGAGCGGGCCTTTCCTGAGGTGTTGAATTGGGTCAAGCCAGTCTGTAGAGGATCTGATGTTCCAAGAGTCCTGAGGATCACTTCTTGACCCTTTAGTACACCACAACTCCCCCCTTTCATATTCCTGCAACCCCCCACGGATCTCCTGAACGGGGGCATTTTCAGTACTAACGGTGGTTCCCATTTCCTCCCTACATCTTTACTCTTATATCCCACTTATGCCAACATCTAGCATTTATTCACTAGGCAAACTCTTTTGAGCACCTATCATTTCCAGGCAATGAGGATATCGATGCCAAAAGGCAGACAATTTTTCTATCTTGTAGATTATTTTTTAAGAGAGAAAGAAAGGACATAAATGAGTAAACAAATAAACTAAGATTAAGTGTGTAGTGTAGTGAGTTCAATGGGGGGGAAAAAGCAGCATCTGAAGATGAGTGAGGGTTATATTAGCTGTAATGATTAAGGAAGGTTACATGTAAGTAGACACCTGAAAGATGAAAAGTTTAAAGCAACCTTTCAAAGGATGGAACTCATGCAGAGAGACCCAGAAATGCCTCTGAAGCTGGAACAATCTCATGTTCAAGGAACAGAAGGGTGTGATTGGAGGAGAGAGTGAAGATTAGCATGTGGTGGTAGGTGTATGTAGATAACACCTTGCCTTGTAAGCCATGGTGAGGTGTTTAAATTCTCTTCTAAGGATGTTTCAAAGCTCTGCAGGATTTAGAACAGTGAAACATCTAATGGATGTTTAAAAATACTGTGGCTACTGTGCCTTGAATGAGTTTCAGGAAGGAGTGGGGACAGGGAGACCAGGGAGGACGGTACATTACTAGTTTGTCAAAAGGAGGGCTCAGGCTATGTTGATAGAAGTGGAATAGATTGGGAAGATATAGGACATGGTTCTTGGTGATAAATTAGCTTTAAACTGGCATCTCAAGGATAGGTGCCTCACCTCCAGGACATTTATTGATCTTGTAGGTTTTTACTTCTCCTGGTGAAGGTCCTGTTTTCAGCACCAGGTCCTGGTTGGGGCCATGCCCTGTGACAAGGAAACTCTGGGGATGAGAGTGGAAGCAAAGGAAGTTTTAAAATGTATGAAGATAGGGAGCTCTGGTTGCCTAGTGGCAAAAAGCCACACTGCAATCCCAAAGGAGTGTGGTTTGAGTCCTCCAGATCCTTCGCTGGAGAAGGAGGGGCAATCTCCTCCTGTGCCAGTCGGATCCAATTCAACAGTACACAAGAAAAAAAAAAGATGTATGAAGATGTCTGTTACTTTTGCCTGCTTAGCAACCATCTTCCTTAATTTGGGTTCCATACTCCAAATTTCTTTTAAGTTAGCCCCCTTCCTACTCTCAGTCATATAGGTGGGACTGATTCCCAGTAAGCTCCAGAAGTGGGCCCAAGACCTATCTTGAGTAACTGGTTTGGAGATGAACACATGACTCAGCAGAGTCAGTGAAAACCTTCCACGGGACTTTTTCTGGAGCTCTTTAGAAAGAGATTTCTATTTCCACTAAAAGTGGTAAACTAGTAGCTCTGGAGACAGCTGTCTTTGCCTAAAGAAGAAATGATAGCGAGTGCACGCGCGTGCATGCACACACACACACACACAGAGTTAGCTGCCTTGTCCACATCAATCCTTTTCTTCTTTGCAGAACGACAACTTTGTTCAGGTCATTAATATACCAACCCTAGATATCATCTCACCCCAGTCAAAATAGCAAAATTTAACAGAACAGCAAGCAACAAATGCTGGCGAGGTTCTGGAGAAACCTTATTCACTGTTGGTGGGAGTGTAAAATGGTCCAACCCCTGTGGAAAGTGGTATGGCGCTTTCTCAAAAAGTTGCAAATAGATACCATTTGACCCAGCAATTCCACTACTAGGAATATACCCCAAAGAGACCATAACTGACATCTAAGCAGATATATGCACACCGATGTTTATTGCTACTTTGTTCACAATAGCAAGGAGTTGGAAACAACCTAAGTGCCCATCAACAAA